GGCCAACGCTTTACGGTGATGATGATGATGATGATGATGATGACGATGTTTGGTGTATTGACTTCATGAACGATTTGCGTTGCAAAGATGCGAAATGAAAGATCTCGCATATTCTACGCTCGGCGAGGGGAATCAAAAGTTTCAATCAGTTGCATCCGAGAAAACTACGATGATTCTCGAGCCAATCGATAGTAAAACTGTACCGGAGCATTACAGGTTCGATAGGAGGACCCTCGAACATTGGGATCGTAATCCTTCAATCCGCTTTACGCCCACTGAGAAGGAGCGTACCACGAAAGAGGGGAAAAAGATAGCGGAACTAGAGGGGTATGGGGGCAGGTTGAAAAGTATCCAAGTGACGATCAATAACAGGTCCAACCATTACTTTAGGAGATTATGAGGGGCGTATTGGCTAGGATGGAGCCCGGAGCGTAATGCTCTTCGTTTGGAAGACTTCTACTATCTATCACGTTCGATGTTGTGACAATGCTATAACGATCGTGTTTGATGTGCTATGTGGGGAAATGCCGTATTGAGAGAGGGTCGGGCCAATATTTGAAGATTTGCCGAATACGAGAATGATGACATCGCACTCTATATGAGAGCGTATAAGGTGGGATATGCAACAGATTACGTGCACTGAATTTGTGTAGTGAGAAGCGTATGTTCATAAAGCATCTACCGACTGAATCTCTCAGAGTGGCATAACTCGGTAGGATTGCCTTCCCAGGGAATTTCAATGGACCCTTCGTCGGCCAGGGGATTGTTGACGTGTGAGGACTCCTCACTGAGGAGTGCTCACTCACGTAAGCGATTCAAGCTGTTCCCAACGAATAGCTTACCTCCATCCGGAGCCAGCCAAACTCTTCCTCATCGTAGAATCTTCACTCCATCTTCACTGTCAACTTCCTCTCCACCACGCACCACAGCACCAAAGACCTACCATAGTCAGATTAAACGAGACATGACGTATTCGATAAAACAGCATAGAGCACAAAACCCTCCAGAAAATTAATGATATCGGACGTGCTGGGAGTAGCGAGTCCAATTATCAAACTTTGATACTCGCAGTTGACTGAATACTCCAACTTTCGCTGAACTTGAACGTTCTACTCCAGCACAACGAAACAACAGTTTCCAAATCTGACATACACGAATATATCACTCGTCACTCACATGTAAATTTTATGAAATTTAGATGTGAGCTACAGTGTCGCGTTGAGGTTCCCACTTCGAATAGGTGACTCACCTATTCTCACCTATTCTATCTATTTCTCACCTAAGGTGAGAAATAGATCTTCTGAAATCCAATAAGGTCGATAAGACCGTCCCATCGAGCAGAAAAGGGGAGTTGAGCGCTCAAAATTCCGATTGGTGAGCAATAACTTCATTTCGTCGATGAACACGATTCAGTCTTCCACTTTGGAAACTTCAACACAATTCCTTATCGATGAACTCACATCAACATTTATTGTGGTTGGCACGGGAATGTAGATTCTACCAACACCCTAAGTGCATGATCCCGCTTGGAGAAAGAAGTGATGCCACTCAGCTCGTCAAGTTCGGCGATTCTGATGTGCATATTATCAGTGGTCCTATACCAACACGAGGCTTCTCTAAAAGACTCTTCACTATTGAATTAACAGTTACAGCAGTTTAAACTGTTAAGACTCAGTAGCTCCTCAACAATGACTACGCTGGGTCGATCGAGAACGACATCTATCATACTAGATCACAACGAGACACGTGGAGGACCACCATGAAGACTCAGGTATTAATAGACTCAACACACTCATGTATTAGTGACAACAACATTCAGAAGGATCATGTAAGCACGGCCAAAATAATCATAATAGCAACGAAGTCAACCTACAATATTCGAATCCTCAAATCACCTACGGTGAGTTCCAGTGTATGAGCTGGTGTCATAGAAAAAGCGTTCAGGGCCGACAGCCTAAAATGCAACATTCCCGTATATAAATCCGTCTCCTACGAGGTGCCTTACGTTTCCCGCAGGGGTTGTTCTACGGCGTTCACCTTGAGTGCTCTTCTGTGGGCTTTTCTCTCTAATTTCCTCAGCCTTACCCCTTGCAGAGGTACTCGATCGACGCTGCACGATAACCTCAAAACTGGCATTGAAGAGTTGCCGATGTTCTCACATCAACGAGGCTCTTCAAGTCCTTATTGTTACGGTCTACAGTCTCAGGGCCACCAGCCTTATGGACCTGCACTTCATCAAACACTTGCGGCACTTCGAGTCGAAACAACTCACCCCAGTGTAAGTTGACGTATCATAGAAGAATCTTTCCGGTCCTCGACCCTGCCAGAACAAATATTCCTATCGATAGCCGTCACCGCCTCACTTTGCCAGCGGGCGTCGAGGTGCTTCCACTAGCCCTCTTGGTCACTTCAGTTGCCGGAGCCTACACGCAGCAAGGATGAGATCATCACAACCGAACAGTTGTAGTGACCTTCTGTGCAGCCTTCTGGCTCGAAGCGCCAGTATCGACAGTTTGCGGCCCACCATTACGCCACACCTGCGCTCCAATGTTCAATGGGAAACGACCAGTGAAAAACAGTTACTCCCGTATAAGAAGATTGATCGTAGAAGAACCTCTCTGGGCCTCGTATCGACTGAGAAAGAGCATCCAGTGTTTATATGTTAGTATTATGATGTTAATAATGAGACACAGAATTGCCATATGTCAGTGGTGATCTGATTGTTGCATACGAGCTTACTTTCCTATCTGAACCAGCATCAATGCTTGGCCTAGCGGGAGGCAGGGCGGTCGAGGGCCCGACACTAGTCCCTGAACCACCATGCAAATGTATTTCAGAGCACACGAACTCAATAGTTTGAACTCACTAGTAGATTTAACTGGGCTGGCTGTACTGGAACGCCTACTAATAGTCGGACCATCGCATTCAACCACCTTTTCTTTAGCCCAGGAGATAGGCTTATCAAGACGATCAGCCACCTGAAGTCATCGGGACATGTCGCTCTAGTCGATGAACGC